CACATCAATCGTATCCGACGTTCCTAGCATGGATAATGCCTTAACAAATCATTCATTCTTCACCATAATTGCATATGGTTTCGACTTCGCCTTCCTCCTGAATTCTGCAGCGAAGTCGCAGCCTGTGAGGGCATGGAAGCTGGGCAGTGCTTCACATACCACAGGAGTGAGGTTCTCAGCCAGGTCAAATATGTCAATGAGGCGCCGTGTATTCTTCGAATTCACTCCTGCATCCATCCACGACTTCGCATTGATATATTTCGCGTGGTATAGCAGGAGAATGAATACATCAGTATCGATGCTGCGGACCACCACTCCTGGCATCTCCTCAGAGGCAGCAACGAAGTTTGCGTGAAACACCAGCCTCATGTTGGCTTCCTCGTGGGTACACCGGAGGTCGTCAACTGTTATCCTCTCTACCTGTCTACCATTTGATGTGAAGAGGAAGCATTCCAGTCCAGTTGCATAATACAGCTTGTGGCCCTGCAGAATACTTGCATAACTTGAACTGAGCCAGTCATCTTTCAAAAAGGAAAGCAATCCCCGTTTGAAATCAGTAGATTTCAAGGCATTTTGGAAGTCAGCTGGTCTTTTCTGTAGAGGACCGGTGATCTTGTAAGAATGCATCAGCAAACAACCACGATTATCATGCTCCTGATCCTGATTGATGGTCCATCCGGATATGTATCACAGATGAGATGAACTGTTTTGGCATTAGTACAGACGCGCTGAAGGATTGACCTGGCAACACCGCCGAAGATGGCAAGGGAGGAAGAGTGCGTATGAAGAACATGGTATCAATCAGATAGGCATCGACTGAATCTGGCCCATCGTTAGCAGCTGTCCCCAGTGCCTCAAGCTTTTCCATGAACATACTCTTTGCAGTTTTATTCATATCCCCTGTGATGTGACAGAGAGAGAACGGAACTGGTGTAAGAGGGTGCGACAAAACAGCGCCAAAATCAATCTTCTGCATCACAGCGAGATACGGAAGTCTTCAGAACAAATCTCTAGTGCAGCTGACCCCCCTGATCTTTTGATCTTTGGCGGGGACTTTCATCTTTACTGCATCTTGAGCGAAGTTCTTCACCTTCTGGCGTTTGATTGGTTTCTCGAATCTGGCTGGGTCTTCCTTGCACTCATTGACAAATTTCTGATGCCATTCTGAACCTTTCACTTGCAATTGCAAAAGATCATTCTTGACAGTGTCAGAGGCAGCCTTTCCGGTCGCGAGACTATACAGTTTGTCATCACTGGGAATGAATGGGTTCTAGGTGCCTTCGATTTCTCTGATGAGGTCTTGGAGATGAGACTGGTCTTTCTCAATTCTGGCTGACGTCAAATCTCTGGACACTTCTTATGGGGCTTTTAAATCATGCCATTTCTAACAGGAAACTCACCACTGCCACTCGAAATGAACGTGTAACTGTCCAGCGCTTGCGTGCATTTACATGCAATACCCCCATGCCTTGAAGCAGCATCTTTATTGACGGTCTGCTCTAGGGTTAAATCGACCGCACTTCTAGCAAACGACTTACCGGTTCCACGGATGGATAGGGTACCAGCATCAAACACATCTCTAATACCAGGATGAGTATGCTCCATGTTTATGTGGTTGAGGTGATAGCGTGACATCCATCTTGCGTAATTGGGACGATGTGTTGCGAAGAACATGGGTATCATCTCACCCAGTGCAAAGGTGAACAGAGTTGTGTCATTAGTTTGACATGCCCGGTCGAGGAGGAGGTACAGGTGAACTAGATCAATATACAACATCCAATACTGTGCAGTAGGACCATGACGTCCGGCTCTCGTTTCGTCGCAGAATTGCGCATATCTCTCAAGCAAATTCACAATGGCAGAGGAATCAATGAGAGTAGACAACGATCCAGGGCTCGGTGCTTCAGAAAAGGCATTCATCAATGCCATGCATTCATCTGATATGTGTCCATGGGACTCAAGGAATTGCTTGAAGTGAATGATTTGCAACACTGTCGCAAACAGGGGATGCAGACACTTACACCTGTTGAAGTGTTTCCCGCAAATGAAGCCACGCATTGAACCAGAAGCTAGCACATCAGAACCACATAGCATTTCCGGTCGTCCAGATCATTCCGAGAAGTAGCCTAAGCAAGCAAAATGTGTCATGAAGATATGGAAAGCTCCAAAGCACACAAAGACATTATCAAAGAGGGGAGATTCCTGAGCCTGTATCTGCAGGGCTGGCTTTGCAATCGCTAAGTCGTACGTCACCACTGCATACTTATCACCGCATTCTGATGCAACCTTCTGTGATCTTGCCATCGTTTCCCTTACAACATCCAAATTTGTCGGGGGCGGATCTATGTTCTCCATGCAGCCTATGACCTGTCTTGGCAGTGGATCATGACACACCAACGAATTCCAGCCATGCCACATCGGTGTCTTCGTATGGATACAACAACAAATCATCCAAATCATGGTGAGGATAGGCCTACACGTTTTCACTAGACTCAGTGCTTGTCAATTTCTTAACTCTCGTTTTAGGGCAACACATCATAGTGTAGGGACTTACCAGAACTGATGACTACATCTCCACTATTTGAAATGATGCTGTAAAAACAGGAATCTATATTATTTGTTTCAAGAACATTATACTTGTTACATTGTTATGCAAAACAATCCTTCTTCATAAGACAGAAGATCAGTAATTTGTGAGAAGTGTCATCTGGTGGTGAAAATAATAACTTTTGAGACATATCTGGGCTGAGAGCTAAAAATGCACATTATCTACAGTGTTGTGGGCTAGCCTAACCGCTAGATATTGCTACACAAATGGTTTTAAAAACTTGCCTGGCATTTTATCTAATAAAACATTTTCACTTTATAAAAGTATTTGTTGTCTTTCCTACTAAACTGGGCTTGGATAAGAAAAAAGACGGAATTTTTAACTCAAGAGTCGTCACGTGACCTTTGACCCCCTTCTGATCTGTAAAAAGGTCAATTTGCATATTTCATGATTGGATCCAAAGGAGCTTACCACGATGTTCATTTTGACACCTAGATCTCTTTTATAGGTCCATTAATAAGAGTGCATTTCAATTTTGAAGTTGCCCAACCCCACTTTTTCGCCAGATAGTCCATACCGGCAAAATGAGAGAAAGGGGTTAATTCTGGCTAAATGCCCCGGCTGTGCCATTCAAGCAGTTCTGTTTTGGATACCCCATGGGATACCCCTTTCAGAAATACCAATGAAAGACTCTCTCATTTCATGCAGATAAATGACCCCTGGCTCCTGGACTATAAGTAATGAGCCCTACATAAACATGCCATGTTGTGATAAGCAGAAGATAAACATCAACAACAACAGGTAATGGCTGGTTGGTTTGTTGTTTTACGCCGCACTCAGCGATATTCCGGCTATATAACGGCGAGTCGAGTCGAGTCTAGACCAGACAATCATGTGATTGATATCATGAGCATCGATCCACGCAATTTGGATCGATGACCTGCATCAACCAAGTCAGCGAGCCTGACCACCCGATCCCGTTTGTCTCCTCTTACGACAAGCATAGTCGCCTTTTGCGGCAAGCATGGGTTGCTGAAGACCTATTCTACCCTTCACGGGTCGACTATAACCAAGTAATGAGCCCTACAAAAACATACCATGTTGTGATAAGCAGATTAACATGAACAACAGCAGGTAATGGATAACAAATAGCACACACAATTAGATGAAGCCAGATTACACTGAGCCAGATGTAAAGTACGGCAATGAATGTTTTACAGGTCGATTAGATACTAATAAAAAAGAACCTATTGCTTGATTAGATCTTCATAGGCAGACCGGATATAATACACTTGATCTCTGTTGATGAAAGGTTTCTCGAATGCCAATGGAACAATGAGTAGGCGAATGCCTTGAAGATACACTGAAGAATGCTTAAAGATAGTAAGTATACATCACTTATGTCGTTATGTCCACTTTTGATTTAAATTCCCTGCAATGACAAACCGGTAGTTTTTTATCACAAAGCTGTAGATCTCTCCGACAGACAATTTATTTATTTATCCTTTGTAAATATTCTGTCCATTCAGTCATATGTTCACATAAAGTGACACGTAATATTATACTTATTAAGTGTAGGTTACATACCTATACATCAGACAGCGAATTTAAGTTGGCTAGCCAGGTCACAGGTGTACAACAATGCTAACAAGTGGTGAGACTAGCAGGCTACATTTGCCATGCTTATTTCGGTCGTCATTAACTAAGTGTGGAGCTAAATTCCGACAGACAAGTTGGCAGGAGGGGTGCATATGCTGTTGCTGCGGCAGTAATGTAATGATGGTTAATAGTTTATGACAGTAGAATATCATCAGTTCAGAGCCACAAACGTCTTCCATACGGGAACCATTAGCAATTTTTATGATTTTATTTGTTGTTTAACGCGACACAGGAATTTTCCAGCTCTATAGGCATGTGTGGGTCAGACAATTCCGTGATTGATATAATGAGCAACGATCCAAGCCGTTGGGGTATGTGGAGGGCACGTTAACGAAGTCATCGTGCTTGCTACTCGATTCATTAAGTCGTCTCTTATGACCATCAAAAGTTACCGGGGATCTATTCGAACCCGGACCCCCCTCTCTCTCCCCCCCCCCCCCCCCCTCCACACACACACACACCTCCCACGTGGAACAAATTCCATGAATGTTGACATAAAACCAGCCATGTTGTACAAAATGAGTTCCGATGATTATGAAATGATAAATTATACATAACTCCTTATATTCATTACGGCGTTATCAGATGAATCTTTCGGATGTTCAACTTTTTTGTTCACAAAACAACCAAACACGGATTTAGTTGGAATTTCATCAATGGCCTGGGTACCTGCTTGTTGATATCCGACTGCAATATTTCGGACGAGTAATATGTATATTTCTGTCTGAATGTTTTCCATCATAAACGTTTTTTCGCCGTCTTATTATACTGATACGTTATTATTTCTACTTACAGTGTTCTCAGTGCAGGAGACGTTAATTGTTGGTGCTCCGGAAACCCGTCGATGTCCATGTTGTAGATGTACCTGAAAAAAAAGATTATATGCCTTATTATGTATTAGGTGGTGAAGTTCTGTATGTCTCTGGAAATGTCAAATCGATATCCCTTGATACTGGAGCGCTGGAACACTTAATGCTGGAACCGTGTTCACTCTGCCCCAGAGACAAATTGGTCTATGGATAATGATAGTGAAGGTCAGTCAGAAAATACATTGACATGTCGTGACATGACAGTTTACATTTATACTCGTTGCTGCGCTACTCTTGAAAAAATGAACTTTGTGATGTCACTTCGTGAGATAAACATGATGTCATTTGACAAGAAAATACAAATAACCTCGTCCTACGGTTTACGTCGATGGTCATACTTATTATTTGTAGACAATAAGTAAGTCAAATTATCAGCTATATATCAGTTTTCGGTCACGCATTATAGTGAGTGAGTGAATGTGGTTTTACGCCGCCTTTAGCAATATTCCAGCAATATCACGGCGGGGGACATCAGAAATGGGCTTCACACATTGTACCCATGTCGGGAATCGAACCTGGGTCTTCGGCGTGACGAGCGAACGCTTTAACCACTAGGCTACCCGACCGCCCCCTTCACGCATTATAACTTGCCTCTTACTCTCTTAGTTCATGTTTTAAATTTAATTCACAAATAAAACACCGAGGTATAGATAAAATAAATGTGCTTAGTATTTGTGTTGTTGTATAGGTATATGACACTGTAGGGTGAAACATCAGGCGAAGGCGCAAGGCGGATGAATAATGACATTATACCTGGAGTAGTTATGCTCTAATCTCCTTTGCGCATGTTGTCCTACAGAGTAAATGTCAGTGGAGCTGGTCTTTTATAATTATGACGAGACGGATCCCCTTCCGCTATCACGCCATGCTTCCGTTTGATCTAAATTATGTCCATGCAGCGATGTCGCAACTGGCGTCACTACCCTTATGCGCAATCATCTCCTGCTTAAACGAATGTGAAACACGCTGGGAAGGTCTGAAGACCAATTAACTATTTTTCGTCCTACAGACATGTAGTTCAGTTTTCGACCCGATAATCTTTGTACTTTTATTTCATACAATGGGAAGTCCTGGTTATAGTTGTAGTGAATAAAGCTTTCTCGGTGTTACTGCAGCTCCTCAATTGTTCAGTGGACAAAGATGTCCCAGTTGTCAAAGACACCTTAACTCGTTGTGCATATCTGTGCCAGGAGACGTTTCTTTCTTTCTATGCCTCAGTACCATCAACTTTTCCGTCAACTTCCCGGAAGACATGTCCGTTCATCTTTTGTACTGAATTCCAAAGCTCCAAAGAAACCCGTACAACAGAGAGAGAGAGGGAGGGGGGGGGGGGGGGGGGGGGGATAGGCCTGGGAGATAGAACTTGAAGAGAACCTTATAAGGAGGGCTAAGTGGGAAACATAGGTGTAAGCGACAAAACTTTAATAGGGGCTTAAAGGGAATTCGAACGGAATTTGAACGTAAAGTGTAACACACGTATAAACTTGATGCTTGTTTAATAAAGGTACTAGCAATTGTTCTGAAACGTCGCACTGACATCGAAAAGCAACTCTGACTTTATTCAGACACCTTCTAAAAAGAAAACTAAAACTAATCAAAGGTTTATCAATGTTTTAACAGATAAATAATCTACAAAGATACAAGGTACAAAAGAGAGAGAGAGTCCAGCAAATGTACTGCCAAATCCCAGGATTAACCACAATCCTTAATACAATCAAGGAAGGACTTTCTTTATATTCACAGAAACTGTTGAGACACGTGAATTTAATACCATGCTGATTCTCCCAAAACTCAAAGGATTTAATCTAATCTAGTTCAATTCTGTCAAAACAAGATTTTGCAACACTGTACACCACTATCCCATAAGACAAACCTAAGTGAAATCTTCATTCCTTGATCCAAACCTGGTGACTATAGATATAGTTACACATCTGTCTTCAGAGGTTCAAGACAACTTGTCCAAAATGAAATCAAATGTCACCTGAAGTTCACTGAAGAAATACAATCATGTGAAATGCAGTAGTATTACTGTACAGCAACAAACACCGTTTGTGTTGATTGTGTGCGTGGCGGATGCTATCGGTAGAGCATGACATGCTTACCATTTTTGCGAACATGACTGTCATCACTGATTTACAGTGAACCAGTGTTGTCACCGCTAATTTACCCTTTAGGCCCAATGGAATCTGTTTCGGTAGATACTCGAGACTGATACAATCATTATTCTCTGGCGTTGACATTTACTGTTATATGTGCAGCGTCTAAACAGCGGTACCCCTGGGAACAATGATCGTTTAGTACTGAGAGGATCTTCAGCGCTCGGAGCTGAGCAAAGTAAAGGTCTGTTTCACTGCAGAAACAAATAACAGTTACATGGCATTACGGCTGTTATCGACTTATTACGCCCTCGGGTACGTCTTCGAATTGCCATTGTCTGCATATAATGGAACTGGAACTGCAACATGCACGTAACATGTTGTGTAAGTGAGTGAGTTGGGTTGAACGCCGCTTTTAACATCATTCCAGTTATATCACGGAGTTTCAAGGCAGTTGGACACCATTAAAATGCCTCGCAAAATGCACCATACAGATTATGTTTAAATGACTTCGTGATTGTTTGCAATGTTATGATTGAACTTAGTACATTATGATTTTGTAATAATCAGCATAGAATTACTTATGTACATAACATGTAAATAGATATGTTCAGTACCTTGTGATCGTACCGTAATAATCACACTGTATACTGATTCATGTACTTAACATCATGCAAGTCACAAATCACGTCCATTACGTAAAGAATATCACATACTAAACATCACGAATACCACATATTGGTATCATCATGAACTCAACATTAATCGGTCTGCATCACGAACACCCCAATGTAGTATTGTCATGTATATGTAACAGCAATGACATCACACGAACACCATGTTGGTAGGTTAAAAAACAACGAATCCTCTTAAAGCTCATTGGACAATAAAATATATCGACTTATCCGATGTTCGATACAAACATTGTAAAAAGGTTGCATCGCCTTGAACGAGGGATTAAACGGTTACCCTTTCGATGGCTGGGATCTTTTTCGAAGGAAATAACATAATCCGGCATAAGACTTGAAAACAACTTTTTTCAGCTTTTACCCCACAAAAATATTTTTTCGTTGGACATCCTACATTTTCTGAAATATAATGTGTTGCCCCATACCTAGATCGTGAGATTGACATCCGACTAAATAATAATAGCCACAAACACTTGTATGACCGTACAAAGTACATGTATAAGTGAGTGAGTGAGTGAGTATGGTTTTAGGCCGCTTTTAGCAATATTCCAGCAATATCACGGCGGGGGACACCAGAAATGGGCTTAACACATTGTACCCATGTCGGGAATCGAACCCGGGTCTTCAGCGTGACGAGCGAACGCTTTAACCACTAGGCTACCCGACCGCCCACATGTATAATGTAGATGAGCCATTTAGCCTTGTCGGTTGTGTCAGTCGCCTTTTGTCTCCGTGCAACAATTAACTATGGAGAACACGGAGACCAAACACCCACGAACATTCACTGTAAGCTATGTATATTTGATTTTCGGAACGAGTTATTGACTTGCTTTGTGTTTCAAGTTGTAGGTTGGTTGCCACAGTGTCCGGAAGGCAAAACATTGTGTGTACGCGTGTTTGCGCAGCCTTCGGAGGATTACAGGCTTGGAAACACATTCCTGTGTTCTGTGTGTACTAGTGTTTATTAACAACCCCTTGAGGAATATAAGTGAACATTAAACCAATAAACATGGTTTGCTATTTACGTAGTGTGTGGCAACCGGAGTCACGTGACGATGTTAGCTCAATACACGCAAGTTGGTAGCAGCGAATAACTACAAAGTAGATAGCGACTCCATTCTTCACCATTTGCACTACTCTAAACAGGGTAAAGAACATCCAATTTTTCATATTACTATATTTAATATGTCATGCCGTGGTCGGGTGAATCGGGTGTTCTTTAACTTCTTTTGAGTAGTATATCTACTCTACATTAGCCGCAGGGTAAAGGTCGCTTGGTGCAAGCTTGTGTTATTGTTTTAAAAGTTATTTCAATAGGAATCACCACTTACTTCCCGCATTGTCATTTAGGAACTAAAAAAAGAACGGCGTTTGTTTCCAGTAATCTAAACATTCCGTCGCAACTAATTAAGTTATTTTAAAAACAACAACCATTGGATGAAATATAATGAAATAGTGTAAAGCTAGATATAGTTAGATGGATGTACGACCCATCAGTGACAAAAATGATGTCCGAGGCAGTTCCCTACTTTGACTTGTACCATGTGTTCCCATACTTTTTTCAGGTGAACAATTGACTTTCCTTTGGATGTGTTTGTGATGGGCGCCACTAGTGGGGACAAGATAAGCTCATCTTTTCGCGAACACGTGGTATTTGATAGTGATTCGTAAACACATGCTTATGAAACTGTCGAAATCGTACAATACATGCTGCTGTTGGCCCAGTCGTTTAAGACGCTGCAAATCGCTGTGCAGAGTTGCGCCCTTTGGACACACCAGAAACCTGTTCGAATTTCGGTTTGCCAAAATTATGTTTCAAGGTTTTGTCAGCACCATGCACGTGCTCGCGGGTTCCACCAAAATGGTTAAACGTCTCTTCGGTCATTCCTTCAACATTAAGGTGACACGCTGTGAATACTGTTCAAAATGGCGTTAAACCCAACTCACTCACTCTTGTGTTCATGAGAAGTGTTTTGTCGCTTTTATTTATTTATTTGATTTAACGTCGCTCCATACAATATGAAAATAATGTCACGTCTAGACTGATAATTATGGAAAGGCATCACAACCAAAGAGACACAAGTGTTGTGTGACCCTGTCGAAAGAAGCTGATGTCTTTTGAGGTGTACATGAGTCGTTCTTTGATTCAGACTGGGAAAACCGTTTCCGAAGGGTCAAAAACAGCATCAAATTGTTTGTGTCATTTGGCTT